AGCATGGAGAAACACCGACCAATGACTGATGACAGAAAACTAGCACTCCCAGTAGCTATCGGAACAGAAGGTTAGTCAGACATTTTGGACCTGGCATAGTTACTCCACATATACCACAAATATAAATAAGCATTGGCTCATGTCGTGAGAATAGGCTGGTTATCACTGGTTTGTGACTAAACAGTAAGCTGGAGATGCGTTATCGATTTGTTTCCTCATCTAATTACCATCAGTATCATAGTTGTAATTAGATGTTTGAGGATTTATGTTGCAGACACATTCCTGCAGGAACGTTCTGCAGTGGAGGCAGGGTGACTACAGTCAAATGGACCGACAGACCTTTCACATGTCCCGATGTAAACAGAGTTTTGTAGCTGTACAAAGATTGATGTAGGAACCGCTATTTATTTTTAAAATATCCATTAATCTGCCAATTAAAACGTTATAACTTTGGTCTGTAAAACATCAGAACATTTTGATAGATCAAACAGCTTTTTTTGTTTGAGCAACATCCAACAAATATTACATTGACTATGATGTACTGTACTGTAAGACTGAGAAAAAACATCCAATTCTCCCATTTAAGAAGTTGAATCAAAGAAAGTTTCATTAATTCTACTTACAAAAGCACTTACATTTCTTAGTAGTGGCCATTGTATTTGCTGTTAAACAACAACTCTACTCTAAGTAAGGCATTGGTCAATATAGGTTTGAGATGACACTAATAAGTATTGCTTGATTTGTTAAACTTATAACTACAATATCTCAGGTATTATCATAGTTTGGAAGATCTGCACCCATCTCATAGCAAACACAAAGTAATGTAATGAGGAGAATCTCTAACCCCATGCTTCAAAGAATAGCTCAGGGCATCTCACTCTCGACTGAGCTTCTGTGGGTAATAACAATTGATGGCGGATAGTTCTCTACAAGGAGAAACCTACTAGACCACGAGTTGTTTGATGAATGACAGCCTGGCTCGTGTCTGCCGGTGTAAACAACAGCACTGTGTGAGAATGAGGAAGGCGTAGATGCAATGATTGTGACTTCCTGACCTTTTTGTTTTTCAGATGAACAGCAAGCAGTGAGGAAGTGTCAGAGGATGCTCTTGATCTGAGGGAGATCTGCAGAGCCAACTGGTGCCCATCATGTCTCACCTCCAGCACTACCATCGAGGCAACCAGGGCCGCACCATGAGCTCTGAGGACCGGAGCTTCACGCCGGTCCACAAAACCGCCACGCCGGTCCACAAGAGCGCCTCCTCCTCTTCTTCTTCCCAGCGCGACAGCCGGCAGGTAATTCCCAGGCTTCATCAGGAATCCATATGGATATAGTTTCTCAAGATAGAAGCACTTTTAAATGAATGTAACTTGAGCCGAGGAGTGAAAGTTATTTTGGCTGTTGCAGTGTTATGTCAGTGGAGTCCTCTTGACAGGCCGTTTATGGAACAGAAAAACAGACGGGTGGAAGGGAACTGCCAGGAAGTGGGATTGTTAGTGGGTGAAACAAAAACAATCCAAACCATTATGTGATGTGATGACTCATTCTTCATAAAATCAGCTGCCCCAAAGTGTCACTACCAATGTTTTATGTGCACAGTTAGTGTGTTCTTGTAGGGATGTCCTACACTTACTTTGTGGCCTTTCTTGTACGTTGTGTGCTAAAATGGTGATGTCTTCTTCTACATGGTGAGAATGTATGACCTCTCTGCTCAAACTGTACAGACCAACTCACACTATGGACAATTCCAGTCAAATGTATTCGAAAAGATGTCGTTCTACTGTAAATGGACAAATATTTACAGATGGCAAGAAAATGCAGATAATATCTAGTATATGCCTGTTCTGAAAGTGAAGTTTTATTTTCATCACAGCACAGTCTCAAGCAAGACTACATTTGCCACAGCAATATGATCCAAAATGGAATGCAAGAGATGCCCCCTCCCCCACAAATATATGTATAAGAAAACGATTCCAGGTCCGTTAAAATGTGGTTTAATCTGTCCATGTTTAAAGTAATATTAGTACTCAATTGATATATTAAATATGTCAAATTATTTCTTTATTTTCCCTCTGCAAATTAATTCAGCATACAGAACAATCTCCTCCTGACATTGACTAAAGAATAGTTTATTAATATAATAGACTATCAACCCGACATTATCTACTGATAAAATGACAGCTCAAAAATAGCAGCCCTAATTCCCTGGTTAGTAAGTATAAACCTTTCATAGGTATAGTAAACAATGCACTCTTATTTCACAGTCAGCAGGACAAGTGTTTATACGTAGCCCCTGCAGTGAGCCATTTGAAGCCCCCCACCCCTCTTACCTCACTGAGTTGCTGCTGCTGTGTCACTGTGGCCGCGCTGAAACCGGACACCGTAACTGGAATCTCTTACATCACAGCTTTTCCGTCGGCACTGGGTGATGAATATTTCATGACGGACAGGCGAAGGCTCGGTGCTCCACTGTGGCACGCTCTGGTATGCGGGGTGGGAGCCCAGCTTGCGTCTGCGGGAGCTGGCGTTCTCAGGAGAAAAAGGGAGTTGGTTTTGAGAAATGGGGCCTGTTTGAAGCGCGCGGTAGCCTTCTGCTTGATGAGGCCGACAGTTAACCCTTCCGTCCATTGTTGCTTTATTCCATATCTCTATCTGCATTGGATAACAAAGCCTTCATGGGTGAAAGGCTTCAGCATTTCATTTCCCAGACGCTCCGTAATCCTGGATGCTAAATCTGAGAGCAGGGTTATCTGCTGGCACTTCCTATTCTCTTTTGATGTGTTTAATGAAGTCAGGGACTGTCCAATGAGGCAGACAAAGAGATAGCAGAGAAGTATTTGTCAAGTAGTATCACATATTTTTGCACACCTGCTTGATCAAGACCTCAAGATGCTTGCCAGTGTATTGTAGATATCAGCGGCATATTATGAATATCATCGGGAATTAGTTCTTGATTGTTGCAGCTGTGTTGTTTTATGATGTAACAGCGTTTGCTAAGTGATGCTGTGGTGATGGAGCTGTGGGAAATGCAGGTGTATCCTTCAAAATCATAGAGTTACAAATACTCATTTGTTTAAATCTGCTGTCTCAGGGTTTCAGCTCACATAGTCTATTATTATGGCTTTCGATTGTATCACACTGACTTCCTTAGCAAGCAGAGTTGTCCCCTTTTTCATTGCTCAAATTTCTATTTTTCACATCCACGTTGCACTTTAAGTTCATTCTTGACTTTAGCTGTCTTACAAAAAGGTCAATTTAGTAGCTGTTCTAAAGCTTTCAATCATATTACATCATTTCTGTGACAACTGAAGCTCTATAAAAGCCACTAAATTCACAATGTGGTGAGACTGTACCACTGTTCCCAAGATAAATAATTAAGTACAAGTGACAAAAGTCATGTGAAAAAATTGCTGGCTCATTTCAAGGATGTCTCCCAGTTGTGTATCTCTAATGCCTTTCTTTGTGTTTTACCTTAATAGTAGGGTTTTCTTGAATTTCTGTCATTTTAAGTGTGCTCTGTGCAGGGAGTTTTGAAAGATATTTTGTCCGTGTACTTGTGCAGTATAGTATATCTTCCCCGGGAACATCCGGAGGAAGCACAGTAGACGCTGAGAAAAGACCTTAGCTAGCTTGGCTGGGTATCAGTTTCTGAGGAAAAATGTGAGCTGGGCATTTTGTTCGGGGAAAGCCTTAATAAGATCCAGCCCACATTTTCTAATCAATACATGTCACTTTCCCCTTTGCTGACGACTAAAGTTCACTCCAGAGACCCTCATGAGAGCAATTAGAGGCACCACCTGCAGTTAGCGCACACACACGCACGCACGCACGCACGCACGCACGCACGCACGCACGCACGCACGCACGCACGCACGCACGCACACACACACACACACACACACACACACACACACACACACTACAGTTCTTGGACATAACACATTGATTCACGATGTCATTACCTGTTAGGATGAGATCTTCTCGGCTTGGAGACAGTTGAAGGGAGAGTTGTGGCTAATATTTAAGAAAGGTCCTTTTTCATTTTACAAGGGTGAGGAAATCAATCATCTGTTGCTCTAAGGTCAGATAGTTGCTGTTTTCATGGTAATGACGACACAATGGTGTTATTGTAGATGAGCGAATGATGGATGGACTTGTATTGACAACTGCATAAATCAGTGTCCTCCCTCCTGTAGAGACATCCTCCTTTATTTATTCTATGGCCAGGTTATCATAATGCCTGAAGGGCTGGTTTGACATGTACAGTATGCTAATATCATTTTCCTCAGCAACACCACACAGAGATGATAGATATAAACTAAAATATGTATTATACATTTTTTTAATAGCATGAATATTTGATTACATAGACAATCTTAACCTCTTTTCTATTTTCTATTTTGAATTGAGCCGTCCCTTATAGATACTATCTCTTTACGTATTAGTGATGGGAATTCCGGCTCTTTTTAGTGAGCCAGATCATTTGGTTCGGCTCACTAAGAAGAGCCGTCTCCTAAACGTCTCCTAAACGGCTCCTAAACGTCTCCTAAACGGCTCTACATTTTACCACAGTTTACCACGGAGCCTCAGGCCCAATCCCAAACCGCCCCCTACACCCTACCCCTCCGTTTGCGTGTTCGTGCGGAGTGTCCGCCGCATTAAGTGCTGTTCCAAACCAACGAGTGTGGAGCGGTGTGGAGGGGGAGTGGCAGGGCCGGCCCTGACCAATTTGCTGCCCTAGGCAAGATTTTAGCTGGCGCCCCCCCCCCCCTATTTTAAATTAACACAAATACAAAATTAAAACCTATAATTGCACACAAAA